TACTGACTTATATATTATATAAATGTTAATGTACAAAATTATAATATATCAGGCTCTTTCAAAATCTGCTGATACACGGTACTTTTATATGGCTGAAATTAGGATTGTACCTACCAAAATATTCGATTTAGAAAAATTAAGTAATATATTTAATTAAAATAGCCTCCATAAGGTATCACCTATTTTTGTAACAGTACCACATGTTTCTACTCTTTAGAATTTGAAGTTAAAGGAATATTCAATGAATTAAAAGGGAAGATTTTTTTCCTTGAAGGTAAACGTAGAACTGAGAATGCAGTACATATAATGGGTATTACAAATACAGATGTGAATGAAATATGAACAGGGTTGCTTTTTTAAGTTACATGCATTATAAAATTTATTTATACATATTGAACTTGTAAATGATAGTGAAATTTGTTTCTGATGGGCAATTATTAGGTTACATAAAGCAATGCCATAAAGTTATGTACCTGCAACAATTTATATGATTAATAATATTTAAATTCTGATATTCTTCTTTAAAATTTTTAATTTTAAATGATTCTTTTTTATATGTTACTTAGTAAAAATATAGATATGAATGAATATAATGTCCTATTTTAAATTAACCTACTTATACATTGTAAGTTATACTAACACAAATTATTATGTTTTTCTTCTATACATAAACAATTAATTTACATGTCATTGTGAGTACCCATTGGTGCATAATTTGTGTATGTATCATTATTTAAGTACACATTTTTTTTTCAAAGAATGTATGTTACAAATACTTACAACAGACATTGACAAAGACTAATAATAAGACAATTATAGATCCGTGAAATGTATTCATATATCTAATTATGTTATCATATGATTTTCTTTTTAAATATATATATATCAAAAAGTATCTGATATATTTATGAAATGATCTGCCATACTTGTACGACAAAAAAATGTGAATACAGAAATTAAAAATGCTATATTTACTTATATATTTTGATGTAGATCTAATTGCATGTTGATACATATGAATATGGAAATTGGGGATGGAATACTGTTTACTGGGAAATAAATCCCCATTCATCTTCTGCCCTCTTCACCCTCACCCCCAAAGGACATAATACTGAGGGTCATACAAAACTGAGAATAGCAAAAAAGGATATAGATGAATTTAAAATTGAGTTAAAAGGAATTGGAATGTGTATGAACAAAAACAACACAGGGTAGAGTTTTCCTAGCACTGTTATTTGATAAAAAAGGAATTCAGGAGAGAAGAGAATGTTGTTGTCTCCATATAAAATGTTCCAAATTGATCAGGGAGAAAGGCCAGTCCAAAAAAAAAAAAAAAATTCAAAAATTCGAAAGAGATTTTGATAAGGCATTAATTTCTAACATTTAAAGTTTTGGGAAATGTTTGAGGAATATAATATTGATAATCATGCTCTTAAGGTCAGACGACACGTTCCTCAATAATACATGTATATGATTTTTCCAAGAATTTATCATTGAAGTACCTAACCAGATATTTGTGCAAGATTCTAGAGAGTGGTGTTTAATCCTATATAACTCTGTTGGAAATCATTTCAATTGTCAATATCACAATTTTTGTTGTATTTATTTTTAAGACATTTTGAAAACAGTTTAGAATTCACAAGATAATGTTAATGTTATGAATGTTTTTATATATATATTACGAAGAAAAACAAAATAGATGTATTTGAGGAACGTGTAGCAAGTAGTCGAAAAACCTTGGAAGGATACACGTAACCTTGTCTCAATACACATATGTGATGGAAAAGTTCCGATGAAGTTCTAGTAGAGTATCACAGGGCTCTGTTTCATTGATATTTTTATTACCGAACACAAAGAATCTTAACGTAAATCGACCTTATTCCATGGTGTTCTTGAATTTTTCTAGTATTTTGATAAATTTACGACATACATCTGTGTTGATGTTTTATAATACAGGTATTCGAAAAATCATTAATATTTTTGGAAAACAACGAGTTTACAGCCCCCAGTATAAATTAATAAATGTAAAATGACCCCCCCCCCCCCCAAAAAAAAAAAAACATTTAAATTGGAAAGAAATACTACGTATATATTATATGTCACCAAAAAAAACAAAAAACAAAAAAAAAAAACAACAACAAAAAACGAATAAATGAAAAAAGTGAGCAAGCTCATGGGCTCCCATATTGCTTGACAATACTAGACATAATGGATGGCAATACAAAAATACCCCCCCCCCCTCCATTTTACAGGTGTTTGTCACATCATGCAGTCTCAGATCTCCAGAGGTGCGCTAAATAAAACATTTCCAATATAGAAAACAGCCTCTCTTCATCATTTAAAAGCACATGTAAATAGTTCTCATAAGTTGCACAAAATAGTATATTTTGGCTTTTAAAGTTAAAATCATGCATAACTCGTAGGGGGAAAAATTAAGCAAATTCAAAGAATTGTGGTCCCCCACTTTATGATTGGGATGGAATTATGCATGGCATATTCATATTGTAACTGTCTTGTTTGTATGTCCTGTCTTGCCTTTCCATCATACATAATTGAATTAATAAAAGTTACGACAAAGATTAAAGCCTTTCAAAACTGAATCAAACTTCAAGATCAAGGTCATGAGGTCAAATAATTATCATAATGCAATCTGAAAGGGCTTGTCACAAGTAATGCACACGTTAAAAACAATATGAAAGCCCTGTCTCTTCTGGAGCAAAAGTTATTGCCAAACTTAAACTTTTGATAAGTAGATCGAACATCTAGGTCAAGGTCATGAGTCAGAAATGATATACCTTTCTGGGAGGTGTTGTCATAGATTATGTACTGGTAAAATATGAAAGCCCTATCTTCTCTCATTAAAAAAAATATCAGCAATGAAAAAAAGACTGTGACTGTTTGTTAAACTTTAAGGTCAAGGTCATGACGTCAAGAACCAGAGTACATTTGGAAAGGTCTTGAAACAGGTAATGCACATGTAAAATATATAATAAATAAAATCTTCCTTCATTCAAAAATTAGCAGCAGCAGTGTATTTTTTTTTTCTTTTTCCAGATCTTTTTTTTATTTATTTTTTTTTTTTTAATTTTTTTTAGAAAATAAGGTAAAATAAAGGAAACGTCCTGTCACAGGTAATGCATAACGTCAAATATGAATGCCCTATCTTCTCTTCTTCGAAATTAAATTATCAGCAATGGTACATTTTTTTTTAGAATAAGGTCAAACTTGAAGGTCAAGGTCACTGGGCCAAATATAATATCACATTCGGAAACTTCTTGTCACAGGTAATGCACTTGTAAAATATGAACGGCGTATCCTCTCTCGTTCAAAAGTTATCATCAATGTTCTTTGAAAATTAGGTGAAACGTCAAGGTCATAGGGGCAAAAATATTAGCATGTTCGGAAACTTTTTGTCACAGGTAATGCACATGCCAAATGTGAACGTTCTATCTTCTCGCATTCAAGTGTTATAACCAATGTTAATACCGGTATTTTTGAAAGGTCTTGTCACAGGTAATTTACGCGAAGGAGGGGGACAAAAACAAGCGAAATTTTCTGTGAATATGCACGTCTACACAGTATCTCCTTATCTACTATAGTCACTACAAAGTTTCATGAAACTCTGTCGAGCGGTTTCAGATGTGTTGTGCTGGTAAACTGTTGCAGCAGTATATTTACGGAGATGGGCGAACAAGGTGTGCAAAATGCCAATAACTAATTCAAATCTATAAAAGTATTATTCAACTTGTAAATTTAGTATTTAGAGTAAAGTTCTTATTGAAATTATGTCAACCAAAACTTTTCTGCTGAAAATTCTTTCGGAAAAAAAATCGTTCTATGATTAAAAAATGTGCTCTCTTTGGGTTCAAATCCAAGCAGAAAAAAGAAAAAAAGTATAGCCTATTAAAGCCCGATATAGAAAGCACCGCCTTCGTGTTTGTGATGTGACCGCTGACTAAATGGACTTCAAATATTTATCGGAAAGATACGAATGTTGTGTCATGAAAGTTACTTTTTAATTGTAGTGAGTCTTTGCTTCATTTTTTTGTTACCAAAAAATTGTACATTTTTAAGCATACTTTGATTATAATATTAAAAAAAAAAACTTAACGAAGACTCACGCATCTGGAAAAATTGTGTTATAGTATGAAGAAATGTCTGGTCATTTTTGACCTCTTTGATGTGTGTATGCTATTTCAAAGACAAATAATTTTTATAGTCATTTTGAGATTGTTGCGAATTGTGGAAATAACTTACACAAAGTATAAATTACTGTTAAATAAAATATCAAAGAAAAATTTATCATAATTTTTATTTTTTGACTTTTTATTTGTCGCACAATATTCATCTTGCTCGCCTTGTTCGTCCACCTTCTGGACAAGCTTCAAAGTTCAAACGGAGCATAACTCTCGGGAAAAAAAAAATGAATCAGAATTTCCTAGCTGTAAATATGCACATCAACACGTGTTGTCCTTATCACAGGTCGGCTTGTGGACGCCCCCCCCCCCCCCCCGTTCCGTACCACCAGAGGTTCTTTGACTTAATAATGAACTATTTTTATATGACATATTCACAAAGTATTACAACTGAAAATTCCAAAATATAACCTAAAATTAGCCTTTTGTAAAAATTCACACTTAGAGAACTTTTAAGATCAGAGCGTGTGAATCCAACCCAGAAATTTCTTGCTAAGCCAACAAAAAAAAAAAAAAACAACAACAAACAAACAAACGTAAAATTCATTTCCATGGTGGTGATAGTGGGGTCCACGTTTTCTAAATGCGGGGGGGGGGGGCAAAGTATTTTTTTTTGTTTGCTTCAGAATATACTTTTGATAACTCTGCAAATTCCAGGGGGGTCCGGAACCCTAACCCCCCCTCTAGATCCGCGCATGAAAACATCCAAACATGATGGTTACAGTAACATGTTAATTTCAGAGTGCTAAAAGAATCTTAGATCCGCGCACGAATAGATCGGGATCGGGGTTTATACTGCCCTCCATCAACCGGAAAAGGGAATGCACGTAGTGGCGCTGAATTCAACGAAAGGTAAATACTGTACCGGCTTTAGATGTTTTAATCAAGAAATGCATGTTCTGTTATTCTGTGAGCAGAATAACCGGCGATCAGTGTTTGAAAGGGGGCGCACAAATGTTAAACTTCAAAGTTTTGTTTGGAGGAAAACCATAGCCCCAACTGAAGCATAACTCTCTCTCTCCCTATCTCTCTCTCTCTCTAATCCATTCTTCTTGCAAATCAAGGCTGACTAGTCTTTACTTACTGGCGCACTTAACAATAAATAAATTATACAATGCTCTCTGAAAAAGGGAGAAAAACTTAATCTTTAAATTTTACATTTTTGATTATGGTGTTTTTTCCCCAGTTTTTATCATTTTCAACGATTTTGTTTAATAACACGGGGTAAGTAAGTATTAGTATGGCAAGGCTAGTATGGCTATTAAAACCATCAGAACATTCTTAGATTTGAGAGTTTATGCACTAAAAGTATATGAGGTTTGACATTGTCGATATAAATGTGAATATTTTTGACTGGCATATACCTATGGGTTTTGCAAGGTCATGCTTGGAATGATTTACAGCACGTAGTTGTCTTGTTTTATTCATAACCTTGTACAGGTTAAGCTAAAATCTTAATTTTGCTATATAAGGTAATCAGACAGTATACAAGACGTACATGTAGGCACTCATTGACAAATCATTTCTTAGCCACACAGCTTTCAAAAATTTGAAATGAAGAGGCGAATTTATTCATTTGAACATGTTTAAGAGGCTAGCTATTTTAGAATTATTTCAAATAGTTTATATTGCCAATTATGAAATTTGAAGCTGCGAATTCCGATCATTGAAACAGTGTAAAATTGCCTTTTACCTTATCATGCTTATTGAAAGCGCTGTTGTTGCCAAATGCTGTTTATTCTAAGTTGGCATGGAGCTTGTTATATACATGATTAAATAGTAAAAGGTAAATAAAAATATGTGTGATTTTCTTGAGTTGTAAAACTAATTATTGTAATTTTTTGTTTATCAAAAAAAAGCAGTATATGACACATTATTTAGCATATCCCACTTCCTTAAATGTATAATCCAAATGACTTTTGGCTCTTTTTCTCACCAATGAGTAAACACGAGATGGGTCTGAGGGTGAATGACTTAAATAACAATCATCCGTGAAGGGTAGCAATATGTGTTGTTCAACTCTCTAGTTGACCAATCAAAGTCCTAGCCCGGCCCAGAGGTGTCTGTCGGAATCGCTGACCCCTGTACATCATTGTAGGATATCCTCCGTCAGTGTCACATTTCAATGGTTTTATTCAATTAAATTTGTATTTGGGTCAGAATAATTAACTCTGGAATTTGTTCCTATAAAACAGATTGCTCTATGTATAATGCTTTTAACTCTGTCAACTTCTTCTAACGAGTATTTCATACAGGTAAATTGTTTTCCTAATTATTCCATCAGTTTTTGGTAATCTACATCTTGTGTTTGGCATGTTTGTTATTTTCTGTCTCATTACATTGGATTAGGTCCAATAAACTCTCTAATTAGACTACATATGAAGAGTTTTAAGATTATTAAAACAGATGTTAAGTGGATTTATGATTTATGAAATCTCATTTTAGTGTTAAGTGTATACAGTTATATATGCTTGGAATGGAGCTGAGCAGTTATTAAAGATAACTAATATTACACATATTAAAGTTTTTATTTGTACAGTACATATTTGAAATTTGACTAATGTACATTATGAATTTATTGATTACTTTCATTTGTAAACATGCCAAACAGTTGCTTAATTCATTATAATACATAATCACTGTTGTATTAAAACTCAATGTGTAAACATATCTGTATAATGACAAGCATGTGTATGTTGCCTCAGCTCATAACAGTAAATGATGGGTGCAAATGAAATCTTTAAATATTTCTTCTTTTTTTTTTTTAAATTGTATTAAAAAAGGTTTTTGAGTACCATAAATCATGGTGAATGAAAATTCTTTTGATGTGGTTTAAGTACCTACATTGTCATACTGTTTCATAAAAAAAATGATGAAAATACACTGTACTGATGAACTTATGTTCATCAGTGATTTTATTTCGGATTTCCTTTCCAATTTTGAGACTCCCAGGTGATCCTGTGCTTTTAAAAGAAAGTCCAATCAATCAACACATTTTCTTTATGACCTGCAAGACTGAAAATTTTGGGAAATGAGCACAGTGAACTTTAACCTTTCACTAATGAAGACAAATGATCTCTACTTGAATAATATCTCTTAGAACATCATTTTTTGTTACAAAGACAAGAAAGTGCTTATAAGTCTTAACCTTTCTATCTATGTTACTTTAAATTTATCAACCCACCTTGACCTCTCTTTACACTTTTTTTTGTATTAATATCAAAGTGATCCACACCCATTCTTTTTATTTTTGGTCTTACAAGATTATCAATGACTTTTCTTTCTAAATCAACACATTGACCAGACATATTTTTAGGCATTAAGGCCTCTGTAAACCTCATGGTATCTAAGCCTCCTTCATCCTCCCTCATTCTTTGTATTTTCAAATTTTACTGATCAGATTTAACCTATCTTATACTTTACTGGTGTTCTTACTAAACCTGTACTGATCCTGTGGGTGTGTTTTTGTCAGATCCAGTGGTGCTGTTATCAGATTGGACCAATGGTGGAGAAAACCAGTAAAATGGTTTGTGGTGGGAACCAGTAAAAAAAGGTTATGGCATCAGTGTCAGAGGAGGTCACTCCCTATAATAGGTAATAAGTATACTGTTAATTTTTTTTTCCGGCTTTTTTTGGCAAAGGGTGTCAAAATCATTAGTAAAGCTTTATTACTTGTAAATAGTTTTTTTTCCAATAAGTTATTTAGAGGAAAAATCAATTTAAAGAAAATGATGTTAGACAGTGCATTGAAAGGTACATCTTTTAAAAATTTGAATCCAGGATTTGACATTAACTTTTACGAGTACTAGTCCAGTCGGGCCACTTCCCATAATTTTTACTAGCCCTGACTCAAAAATCGCTAGCCCTGACCAAAAAAGCAAATTTAATTTTTATAATCACCAATTTTAATGATGTAATTTTGAAGTTGTCTCTCGAGCGTGTCAAGATTTTGACAGACTTAGCCAATAACGTCTGGTTCATCACAACATGGGACTATTGTAAGCAATGAACTTTAACAAAATTTTTATCCTAAATATAAATAAACTAATTACAGAACATATTTTTTCAGTAACTTTTTATACCATATTGATACTGAACGACGCTAGTGTCTACCCTGACTTGTCTATTACATTTACAGCCGTAACCACTGGTTACTGTATTTTCAGGGCCAATCTCTACAATCTACTTGCATGAAACGAAATATGAGTTTGATTGAAAAGGAAATACAATACTTTTGAGAAATTATAAACTCTTTCTATTTTTTAAAATCAATGGGGGGGGGGGGGGGGGGGTGTCGGTGCACACTTCAGGTGCCTATGGCTAAAAATAGCAATTGTGTCATAAGGGGATTTTTTTTCTTTACAGTGTTTTCAATCAGACAAAATTTCTTTAAAAAAGTTCTTTGAATATTTATTTGGAAGACTGAAATGTGATTAAACAGTTATTTTATGAACACGACCAATCGGTCTAGTTAACGTACATTTTACATGACCGGACCACTCATTTACTAGTCTGGGTCGGTCGGACGTGCCTTAGTGTCAAACCCTGGAATCAGATGCAAAGTTAAATAAAATAGTCTCCAACTTGGATGTGCAATAAGAAAAATTGACAGTAACATTTGTCTGAATTATCATTTTGCAGTTTGCATTTATTTAACGTTTATTTATAATAAATTACCGCAAAAAAAATCTTTTATGAAATGGCTAAGGTCTTTACTTGAGATATAATTGATTATTGCAGGACGGGAGTTGTGTATGATGAATTGATGTCCAGTCATTACCACATGTGGAATGAAGCCTTCACAGAGAAACCCGAGAGGTACACTGGTATAATAGAGAGATGTAAATACTATGGACTGCTGGACAGGTGTACTAAAATACAGGTAATTCACAGGTGAAAATAGGTAAAATTAGAGAGTTACACAGGTAAAATAGAGCAATGTAAACACAACAACCTGCTGGACAGGTGTACTAAAATACAGGTAATTCACAGGTGAAAATAGGTAAAATTAGAGAGTTACACCGGTAAAATAGAGCAATGTAAACACAACAGCCTGCTGGACAGGTGTTCTGAAATACAGGTAATTCACAGGTGAAAATAGGTAAAATTAGAGAGTTACACCGGTAAAATAGAGCAATGTAAACACAACAGCCTGCTGGACAGGTGTTCTGAAATACAGGTAATTCACAGGTGAAAATAGGTAAAATTAGAGAGTTACACCGGTAAAATAGAGCAATGTAAACACAACAGCCTGCTGGACAGGTGTTCTGAAATACAGGTAATTCACAGGTGAAAATAGGTAAAATTAGAGAGTTACACCGGTAAAATAGAGCAATGTAAACACAACAGCCTGCTGGACAGGTGTTCTGAAATAGAGGTAATTCACAGGTGAAAATAGGTAAAATTAGAGAGTTACACCGGTAAAATAGAGCAATGTAAACACAACAGCCTGCTGGACAGGTGTTCTGAAATAGAGGTAATTCACAGGTGAAAATAGGTAAAATTAGAGAGTTACACCGGTAAAATAGAGCAATGTAAACACAACAGCCTGCTGGACAGGTGTTCTGAAATACAGGTAATTCACAGGTGAAAATAGGTAAAAGTATTAGAGAGGTGCATCAGAGTAATAGATCTTTAGATAGACAGGTACAGGTACTAGTAAACTTCAGGTGAGATATTGGTATAATGAGGTAGGTACAACCTGTATCATTGAGCAGTGTTAATGTTGAGCTGTAGAATAGGGAAACAGGTGAATCAGAATGTTGGTCAAATCAGAGAGGGGTCAAAGTAATTGTAGTTTTGTCTTCCACATGTTCCAGTGAGGTTACTTTACAATTCTCCATAAACAACAATGAATGCTTAATCTGACCTCTTCAGTAAATCAGTTTAAGAGTTATTCAGTGTTGTAGGAAAAAATTTTACATAAATTTGTGGTACCAGTTTTATCTTGCCTCAGCAAATTCCGGATTGGAACATTATGACCTACATGTAATCCGTATTTTAAGGAAAAAAAACTTGCAATTGATTAAAGACAGCTATTTTGCATTAAATAGTTTAATTTACTATTATATAATTCCATTAAGACTAGCATTATGTTGATTTATGCATGGCATGCTTTTACCTCAATTTAAAACTGTTTTTTCACCACATTTTTTTTTTTATGTAAATCAAAAATTTTAAAACTGGATTTTTTTTTTAAGACGAGAAAAGCAACAGATGAAGAGATTCTGACTCTACATCATCCGGATCATCTGGATATCCTGAAAAAATCTGAATCCATGACCAAAGAGGAAATGGAGGCCTTATCTCAGAAGTATGATTACCTGTACTTCCACAAGGTATTACTATTGTCTTTATTTCCACAAGGTATTACTATTGCCTTTATTTCCACAAGGTATTACTATTGCCTTTATTTCCACAAGGTATTATTATTGCCTTTATTTCCACAAGGTATTACTATTGCCTTTATTTCCACAAGGTATTACTATTGCCTTTATTTCCACAAGGTATTACTATTGCCATTATTTCCACAAGGTATTACTATTGTCTTTATTTCCACAAGGTATTACTATTGCCTTTATTTCCACAAGGTATTACTATTGCCTTTATTTCCACAAGGTATTATTATTGCCTTTATTTCCACAAGGTATTACTATTGCCTTTATTTCCACAAGGTATTACTATTGCCTTTATTTCCACAAGGTATTATTATTGCCTTTATTTCCACAAGGTATTACTATTGCCTTTATTTCCACAAGGTATTATTGTCTTTATTTCCACAAGGTATTACTATTGCCTTTATTTCCACAAGGTATTATTGTCTTTATTTCCACAAGGTATTATTATTGCCTTTATTTCCACAAGGTATTATTATTGTCTTTATTTCCACAAGGTATTATTATTGTCTTTATTATTGTCTTTATTTCCACAAGGTATTACTATTGCCTTTATTTCCACAAGGTATTATTATTGTCTTTATTTCCACAAGGTATTATTATTGTCTTTATTATTGCCATTATTTCCACAAGGTATTACTATTGTCTTTATTTCCACAAGGTATTACTATTGCCTTTATTTCCACAAGGTATTACTATTGTCTTTATTTCCACAAGGTATTATTATTGCCTTTATTTCCACAAGGTATTACTATTGCCTTTATTTCCACAAGGTATTATTATTGTCTTTATTTCCACAAGGTATTATTATTGTCTTTATTATTGTCTTTATTTCCACAAGGTATTATTATTGCCTTTATTTCCACAAGGTATTATTATTGTCTTTATTTCCACAAGGTATTATTATTGTCTTTATTATTGCCTTTATTTCCACAAGGTATTATTATTGTCTTTATTTCCACAAGGTATTATTATTGTCTTTATTATTGTCTTTATTTCCACAAGGTATTATTATTGCCTTTATTTCCACAAGGTATTATTATTGCCTTTATTTCCACAAGGTATTATTATTGCCTTTATTTCCACAAGGTATTATTATTGCCTTTATTTCCACAAGGTATTACTATTGCCTTTATTTCCACAAGGTATTATTATTGTCTTTAATTCCACAAGGTATTACTATTGCCTTTATTTCTACAAGGTATTATTATTGTCTTTATTTCCACAAGCAGGGGTGTGCAATTACAAAAATTAGTTAATAGCCCGTCGGGCTAGTGGCAGTAACAAAGTTACTAGCCCGAGGTTGTCAGTCACTAGCCCATTAAGTATCGAAAACAATACATGTATAAGTATAACAAAAAGGTAAAAAAAAAACCATTTAAGTTGAAATAAATAAAACAAATAATGGTTTGCACTTTGTTATTGTCAGGTACTTCGACTATAACTGTCACTGAAACGACTGGCGATAGCAACACAATATATATATATATAGGTTAAAACGAATTAAAGATTATGATTTTACAACAAAGTTAATTCGTACATCAATTCAGTCGATGTAAATATATGTATACTTTCGTTTTAGATTTACTAGCCCGACGGGCTAATGCAGTATAGATTTATGATAGCCCGACCTCTAAAATTGGTAGCCCCGGGCGTCGGGCGATGGTAATTGCACACCCCTGCACAAGGTTATTGCCTTTATTCCAAGGTTATTTTTTTAACAAGACACTATTAAATAATGGTTCAGTAGAAATCAAAAGACCATATTTTATGATAAAATATACTGTGATGAAATATGAATAATATCAAAGAAGGAGTAAAAGGAGTTGAGAATTCTAAACAACTTATTTGGGATAGTGAATGTTAATGTCATGAAGCATCTTTTGTGTGATTCCATTGATTATCTGTGTTTTCAAATTGACAGGACATTTTAAGGAATTCTCGCCTAGCTCTGGGTTCCACACTGAACATTGTAGATGAAGTTCTGAATGGAAAGGTATGACCTGTGTCTTCTTTTACCTAGACCATGCATTGAAAAAGACAGTGTAGGCAGTAAGGCTCCCTCCTTCACCCCCCTCCTCTACTTCCCCCCCCCCACACACACACACACAAAGATCAAGTTTTGTAGGAACACCTTAACTGCATATAACATTAATGGTAATTATTTTCTAACCCTCTCTGTAACTAAATTTAAACTTGAGGAATTGACAAGATTTTTTAAATTAACATTGTAAATATTCTTTTGAAAAGTAATGTTTAAGCAATTTTCTTTACATGGATACAAGATTTTATCTATTTGATAAATGCATACTTTAAACAAGAATGAAAAACCTGTTTCTTTTCAGGTACGGAATGGCTTTGCCATAGTTAGGTAAGCATGACTGTGTCAAAATCTTCTTTTTAAAAAAAAATATTTGAGTATGTTGCTAATGACAGTACTATAAAATCAATACTTCGGTATTATAATGTGTAAAAAGATACTGTAAAGAAGTAATGTCAGCTTCTATGTACACAGTAGGTACCGTTGATTGAAAAAAAAAAACAGGATGGTTTTAATTTCATTTAGTCACGATTTATTATTTTTCTGCGTAATTAAACTGATTGTGAAGAAGGTTATCAGATAACACAATAAAGTATTTGTCACAAGGTACAGGCTTTTATTGTGAAATTAAAATAAAATTAAAATAATGGCAGTTGGTACAATACCCTTTAAACAAATTGTGAAATACAGTTGAATTTCAGTATTTCAAACACCAATATCTCAAATACCATGGATATGTCCAAGTGATTTTGAAGTCGCAACCACTTATTCTTTTAGTATTTTACCCTGGATATCTGGAATCCTCAGATATCTCAAAGTTTTTTCTTGATCCCATCGAGTTTGAGATAATGAGCTTTGACTGTATTAGCCCATGGAATTAAAATAACTTACAGTATTTAAAGTTTAATTCCAATTTTTTTTTGAAATACCTTATATACTCACCTATAAGTCGGTCCGCCTGTAAGTCGGTTGTATTTTTAAAGCTTAAATTAGAGGGATTGACCAGCTAAAATACCAATCTTTTTATTACTCGCGTATAAGTCGGATAAAGAGTGTTGGACCAAAGTTTTACTCCCAAAAAACCGACTTATAGGCGAGTATATATGGTATGTTTATATAAATGACGCTGTGTCAATCTCTGTAAAATTTGTTCATTTCTTTATTTATAGACCTCCAGGTCATCATGCCATGTACAATGAGTTTAATGGATACTGCCTGTTAAACAATGTAGCTATAGCTGCCAAGAGGGCCCTGGATGTTCATGGATTAGAAAGGTCATTATCTGAAAAAAAAATTGTACATTTTGTGGCAATCTTTTTTCTTAGTAGTACAGGGTTGGGAATTACATGTACCTCATGTCTGGAAGGCTGAGACTAGTAAAAAGTAGTTAGAATTACATGTACCTCATGTCTGGAAGGCTGAGACTAGTAAAAAATAGTTAGAATTACATGTACCTCATGTCTGGAAGGCTGAGACTAGGTAAAAAATAGTTAGAATTACATGTACCTCATGTCTGGAAGGCTGAGACTAGTAAAAAATAGTTAGAATTACATGTACCTCATGTCTGGAAGGCTGAGACTAGGTAAAAAGTAGTTAGAATTACATGTACCTCATGTCTGGAAGGCTGAGACTAGTAAAAAATAGTTAGAATTACATGTACCTCATGTCTGGAAGGCTGAGACTAGTAAAAAATAGTTAGAATTACATGTACCTCATGTCTGGAAGGCTGAGACTAGTAAAAAATAGTTAGAATTACATGTACCTCTTGTCTGGAAGGCTGAGACTAGTAAAAAATAGTTAGAATTACATGTACCTCATGTCTGGAAGGCTGAGACTAGTAAAAAATAGTTAGAATTACATGTACCTCATGTCTGGAAGGCTGAGACTAGTAAAAAATAGTTAGAATTACATGTACCTCATGTCTGGAAGGCTGAGACTAGTAAAAAATAGTTAGAATTACATGTACCTCATGTCTGGAAGGCTGAGACTAGGTAAAAAATAGTTAGAATTACATGTACCTCATGTCTGGAAGGCTGAGACTAGTAAAAAATAGTTCGGTCTAGTAAATTTTATATATTTAGCTTGTCTGTATGAACTGATGAAAATCCAGATAAAAAGCTTGAATGGGTTTGGATTTTATTACATTTTTGTGTCTTCATTTTAGTCTTTTTAGTGTTTAAATTAAATGAAAAAGAAATACTATTTTAGCATTTTCTTGATCATGTTTTGACCTCCCAACAAGAAGTTTATCAAACTTGAAAATTCTTAATAAGAAACAGAAATTAGAAAAGATAATGAAATTGGATAATTCTGACAAGTCAGTGAAAGGAATTTAGAGAGTATGACAAATACAGAAATCAACTATTTCAAAGTATTTGGAAAGTCAATTTTTATAAAATAAATTGGGGAAAAACTAAGGTTTTGAATGTGTAATCATTTTATATGACAGAGGACAGACCAGTGTGCAGACTTGTGAAAAATTTACTGTTTAACATTGTAGTATTATATCTACATTTTTTTTTAGCATCATTCATATGGTAAATATTGTTGATTTTAGGGTTCTGATTGTGGACTGGGACGTCCACCACGGTCAGGGAATACAGTATTTCTTCTACAATGATCCACGGTAAGATGTGAGGGAAGCGTGACGGTGTACAGAATCTGTAATAGCTTCATACAGTATTGTCAAATGACAAATTTTCTCACTAACTGACAATTTCTTTTAATATGACAAGACTTTTATAGTGAAACTTTATCATCTTTATGTCAACTCTACATACACAAGAGTTTCACAAAATTACTAATACCTTAATTTAAGATTCATAATAATACTGCTACACAAACAATATTTAGACTTAATGAGGTGTTTATACAAGTTTCCATTTCGCCTTAATTCCTCTCACAGTGTACTAAGGCGAAATGGGAATACCAAATTTCACAGATAAGGCGAAATGGGAACAAACCAGCAGGGATAGTCAATGTTTTATATCTGTAATTATGATAGTCTATAGTCTTTACAAATCCAGGAATTAATGGTGGGCTTTTGTTGGATGAACTATGCATTTTATTTTTGGATTGACATGAACATGTAGAAGAATTCTGAAAGGTAAAATAAGCTTTGCCTTTCTGTTTCAGAGTGTTGTACTTTTCAATTCACAAGTATTTAGATGGGGAGGAATGGCCGTATCTTAGAGAATCAGATTACGACCATATTGGTGAAGGTCCTGGCAAGGGCTATAACATCAACGTTCCCCTTAATGTGGTATGTAGTTCAACCTCAGTGTAGATCAACCTCAGTGTAGTATGTAGATCAACCTTATTCAGTGTTATATGTTGATCAAACTTAATGTGGTACATACATCATTGTGGCATGTGGATCAACCTAAATGTGGTATGTAGGTCAGTCTCAAGATCAAGTTTGTAAAGTGGTATGTAGGTCATCCTCAACAACAACATGCCTCTTAATTCATTCCACATCTTAATACATCTTACATCTTAATACATCTGTGGGATTAATCTTTGTATAAAAATTTTTGTGGAACATTGATAAATATGTGTTCATTGATAAATATGAATGTTCAAGTGAAGACTGATATGGTTGATTTTGACATTTTCAGATTGGCTGTGACAACAGTGTTTATCTAGCAATCTTTTTCAACATACTGCTGCCTATTGCCTATGAGGTTTGTGTGGAATTTATATACTACAATGTAAAATTGTAGATTAATAAAAAGGATTGTACTGAATACAGTACTCTTGATGAGTGAAAGAAAGATTATTTTTGAATTGTAAATAAAAAACTGAATCCTGATTGATATAATGAATAACATGCAAACTTGCTGGTTTGTTCAATTTTTAGATTGATTTGCAAGAAAAATCAACAAAATATGTAATAAATAGACTGTATAATCAGTATTTCAGTTCATTTTGGTCATACATGTAATTTATACCCAATTCATGATAATATTTTTATAAGGTCATCTTAAACAATTTTAAGTCCTCCACTTTTTGTTAGCTCACCTGAGCCGGGTGGGGCCACAATGGGCGATCAAAGTTTTACATAGGAATATATAGGAAAAATCTTTAAAAATCTTCTTCTCAAGAACAGCAAAGCCATGATTGGTCATATTTATATGGTAGCATCCTCAGGTAGAGTAGATTCAAATTTGTTCAAATCATGACCCACGGGGGTAGGGCAGGGCCACAATAGAGGATCAAAGTTTTACATAGAAATATATAGGAAAAATCTTTAAAAATCTTCTACTCAAGAACAGCAAAGCCTTGATTGGTCATATTTACATGGAAGCATCCTCAGGTAGTGTAGATTCAAGTTTGTTCAAATCATGACCCCCGGGGGTCAGGTGGGGCCACAATGGGAGATCAAAGTTTTACATAGGAATATATAGGAAAAATCTTTAAAAATCTTCTACTCAAGAACAGCAAAGCCTTGATTGGTCATATTTACATGGAAGCATCCTCAGGTAGTGTAGATTCAAGTTTGTTGAAATCATGATCCCCGGGGGTCGGGTGGGGCCACAATGGGCGATCAAAGTTTTAAAGAGGAACACAAAGTAAAAATCTTTAAAACAAACTATTTCTTAAGAACAGCAAAGCCATGATTGGTCATATTTATATGGAAGCATTTTTAGATAGTGTACATTCAAGTTTGTTCAACTCATGACCCCTGGGGTTCGGGTGGGGCCACAATGGGTGATCAAAGTTTTACATAGGAATACATAGGTTAAATCTTTAAAAATCTTCTACTCAAGAACAGCAAAGCCATGATTGGTCATATTTAAATGGAAGCATCCTCAGATAATTTAGATTCAAATTTGTTCAATTCATGCCCCCCCCCCCCCCCCCCCCCCCCCGAACCACTTTTATATTTAAACTTTTCAACCTTTCAAGACTGAACTGATTTCTGCTTTTTCCTAGCCATAGTGCTCAGGTGAGCGATGTGGCCCCTGGGCCTCTTGTCTTAAGTACAAATATTTGCTTTATTTTAGTTCAACCCTCAGCTGGTGCTGGTATCTGCTGGTTATGATGCAGCTCTAGGCTGTCCAGAGGTAAGAATTCAGTAGGAAAAAGATGAAAGCTGGGTTGTTAGATGTGAAACTGCAAAGAGTGATAAACCTGTATGAAAAGTCTGTGTCGGTCCTTCAAATAAAGAATAATTTGTTTTAGGTAGTTTTGATGCAGTAAATATATTTTATGTACTTCCATCATGTTAACTAGCTAAAGATAAACATGTACAATGTAAAAAAGCAGTATACTTCTTGTTTCAATTCTGCAAATTAGACATGTATTTGAAAAAAACACTGCATTAAGGTATGGAAGGAAAAGTCCAAATGAAGTATGTTCATACAAGTAGGTGAATGATCACAAGGTAAAAAAAATAGTGATTTATATGAATATCATATAGTTTTAATGTACATGTATTTAAATGAAGATGTTTCTCTGGCTGTGTTTTACAGGGAGAGATGGAGGTGACACCCAGTTGTTTTGCTCAGTATGTCAGTCTTCTGTCTCCTCTGGCTGAGGGCAGACTCTGTCTGGTTCTGGAGGTAAACATATTGTAGAAGTCTTTTTTTGTTGTTGTTTACATGCTTATAATGAATTCAAGATTATATAAATACATGTAGCAAAGAGATTTTCTTTCCTTGTAGTGTTAAAAAGGTTCCTATGAACTTCATGGATGTAACAAATTACATTTATAAGAAATCAAAATTTCTGTCCCTGACATGTTGCTTAAAGCATGTTTTACTGAACGCACATGTAAATCAATCAAATCAATCATTCTGAATATGTCTGTATGTATACCTGTTAAACAGACACTGTTATCAAGAATTTAACATCAAGTTTTTTTCTGTTTTGCAATACTTTTCTGTGTAAAGGATGATATGGTGTTTATTTTTATTTTGTGATTAATAAATTATCGGTATGTACTAACTAATGTAGGGAGGATACTGCATAAAGACCTTGGCTGAGGGTGTAGCCTTGTCCCTGAAGGTGCTGTTAGGTGACCCGTGTCCTAGAGTAGATTCCATTACAAGGCCAAATAATAGGTAAGGAAGACTACTTCCTCACTTATAATCTTATCACTGAAGGTGCTGTTAGGTGACCGTGTCCTAGAGTAGACTTATATAGTTTTGTAAGAGGTGGTGCCATAGTTTTATTAATACAGTTTTAGCAGCATTTTTTTCTCAGGCCAAAATTAAATTATTGTTTGTTTGGAATTGCCTCCCACACTCATTGAAATGACCCCTCCTGGAAAAAATTTATTGGCCAAAAATATGAAGATTTTTTTTTTATTCAATCAATTCTTGGTCTGTTACCACATGTGCCACCCACTCACTTAATAAGTGTAGGATCTAAGCAAAACTGGGTTCCTGATCGATGGGAGATACCCTTTACAGAAAGGCAGAAAAGAATGTGTTCATTCCTTATTGAGATTTTTATCATCAATTTTTAATTTAATTTTGAAAAAAAAATAATTTCCCTCCCTCCCTCCTGTGTCTGAAACCTCCCAGGCGGCAGTTCCAGACAAACAGTTTTTAAGGATGGCCTTACCACAGTTGAACTTTATTATTTCAAGCACTGATCTCAAATACATGGCATGTGTCAATGTGAAGTGGCAGTCCCAATCACTTTTTCTTTATGTATTTTACCTCATCTTGAATCCTCTGATATTTCAAAATTTAATTGGTCTCGTTGAGTTCGAGATACTGTGATTTGACAGTACATACTTGTAGCTATAGTTGGAAACTTTCATATTAAATGTCACTTTTCCATGTTACATATTATTCTCTACTCTTTCTTACAGAATATTTAAAATAGAATGTAGGTAATTCATATTTACATGTACTTATCCATTTGATAAAAGGTGTAACTTCTTATTTTTCAGTGCAGTATCATCTATTTTAAATGTAATCAAGGTGTTGAGGCCATATTGGAAATGTCTACAGTTACAAGGAGATTTAGCATCTGTATCACATACCTCAAATACAGCGGTGCTGGACTGGCCCCCAAAGTAAGTGGTCACTAATAAAGAAACCAATATACCTGTGTTTAAATGATTTAATTGGAAATGAATTACTCAAGTTGATTTCAATGTGGTACTCTTTAACAGGGACGGAGTAAACTTCTATACACACAATATGCCGGAGTCGTATTCTCTTCATCAGGAGTGCTGGAATCCAGGGGTTATGGAAAGTGCCCACATCATAGATGCACAAGTGGATGAACTTTTGGCGCGCACTATACACAGGACGACTAGACACAAGTAAAGTAGGACTTTGTGCTGTGGTAGACTGGTGTTGACTTTAGAGTACAACTGTAGTTAGATGATTGCAAATATTTAGAGCCATTTTTTATGCCCCTTTAATCGAAGATTCAAGGGCATATAGTTTTTGGGCTGGCTGTTTGTCCACAAAATCTTTAACCTTGCCCATATCTTTTGAATGGTTGCTGCTAGGTCTTTTACATTTCACATGTGCATTCCTGGTGACAAGACCTTTCTTTGGGTACCAACATTTTTTACCTTATGCCCTTGACCTTTAAGTTTGATCTACTTTTGAAAAATTTTAACCTTCCTCATAACTTCTAAACAGTTGGTGCCAGAACTTTCATATTCCACGTGTATATTCTTGGTGACAAGACCTTTCTTTGGGTACCAACATTTTTGACTTCATGACTTGGAGTTTGATCTACTTTTGGAAAGCTTTAACTTGGCCATAACTTGAACAGCTCATGCTAGGGCAACATTAAAAAAACTTTAACCTTGACCATAGGCTGCCATCAGTGTTTCATATCTAGTTAATCACCATGAATTCGTCCACCCTGTATTTGAGGTTTGTTATTAAAAGCAGTGTGTACTACCTTTGTACCAGCAGCTAATAAGTCTGTTCTCATTTTTGATGGACATTCTGTTTTATTTATTTCTTATTTTTTTCATTGGATGGCATTGGACATGGTGATAATTTAATTACTCTAATTTTGTGGATAAAACTTCAAAAATATTTATTTATACATTTGCTTCATATATATGTGTTATATCCAGACTATTTCTTGCTTAGTTTACATACATTCAATCCCACAAGCTAGTTTTCCATATGGTATGTTGATTAAAGACATGATTTGAGTAATGAATTTTGTTTCAGGGTTGGAATTGTGTATGACGATGCCATGTTAAATCACAGAGACCTGGGCTATGGGTAAGGGCAGTCAATCTTAGCCTATTTAATCATTTCTATTTCAACAAAGGTTTACAAGGAAAAAAAATCATCTTAATTTTATACTGAATAGATAAATAATTTAAGAATAAAAAAATAAAAATACAATGTTTAAACATGTAGGTACATGTAACTACTTTAAACAAAAAAATATTTGCCAAAAATCTTAATGTGTACTCGTGAGTCAAAGAGATCAGTTTGAGTATTGTATAAGTTGGAACTCATACTTTAAAGTATTCCTCAGTTGAAGGTAAAAGGACTATAATAAACCTAGTCAGACATGTTGCTGCCAGTAATCTCATACATGTACATCTATGTTCATGTATGAGGAGAAGGGGGAAATCTTGCTATTCTGTAGTGCGGACTTACATGTATATCTACACTCAGAGATGCCTAATAAAATGAAGAACCATCCAATTCATTTGCTGACCTACATGTAAATAATACCTGTTTCTATTCCAGAGGTTTTGAGGAGGGCCCAGAAAGAGTTGAGAGAATTGTACAAACCCTGAAAAAAAATGGTGTCTGGGACAGGTGCTACCATATACAGGTGGGTATTGATAACCTCAAGATTTAGCAAGTCAGTTACTACATAAATCAATGTGTTAGGTGTTGTACGTGTGGTTATTTTCTTGACTATTCCCTTTATTATTCTTGCAAAGCTGATAGGTGAGACTAAAAGGCAATCTGGTAACTACCATAAATTGATTTGCTTGAATATCTCGAATACCATGGATATGTCGGAGAGATTTTGAAGTCCCAACTACATATTCTTTAAGTATTTACCTCGATATCTCGAATCCTCAGATATCTTGAAGTTTTTTCTCAGTCCCATCGAGTTCGAGATAATGAGGTTTGACTGTATTTAATCAAAAATGACACCAAGTCAAAAAATATTCCAGATGAAGTTGTGAAGTTTGTTCTCCATTGCAGGGTCGAAAAGCTTCCGATGAAGAAGTGTGTCTAGGACATGGGTAAATATGTCACTCTATCAAAGCCTGTAATAACAATTTACAGATATACACAAGACTGTACTACATCTTTTGATGTATTAAATCTATTTGGACATGTCAATCAGAAGCAAAATCAGAAAGGTTTGCAGCATGTAACAATAATAAATCTGTTTGAGCACTGAGTAGGTATACTGAAATAGGATACTAAAATGACGATGGGATTAAAAGGTTGCATCAATATTTAGAAAAGTTAATGAGAAATAATTCTTGGTTCTGTGTTCCAAAGATAGTGGCCTTATACTGTTAGTATATTTCTTACTGTAATGTTTATATTTGTAGAGAGGATCATGTTCGTCGATTCAAGAAAACCATGACAATGGGAGAAGAGGCATTAAAAGTATACCAAGAAAGCTTCAAGTCAATTTTTCTGTGTCAGGTAAGTATTTTATGGAGGTCTTTGCCAATAATTGCAATATTTAGGACTTTACAGTTAAAATAAAGTGTGACTCAACTATGTCATTGTTTTACAGGAAAGTTTTACCTCAGCAGCCTGGGCAGTGGGCTGTTCCTTATCTGTGATAGACTCAATATTGTCCAATCAGGTAAGACCTTAGATAATTCCTTATTTTGATAGATTCCATATTGTCCAATCAGGTAAGACCTTAGATACTTCCTTATTTGTGATAGACTCCATATTGTCCAATCAGGTAAGGCCTAAGATGCATTCTTTATATGTAATAAACTCCATATTGTCCAATCAGTTGAAACCTTGGAAATATTGCTTTTTTCATGCTCAAAGAATTTGAACTAATAGATTGATAATTTATTGCTCAATGACATCCATTTCAAAGCTTCCTATTAAAGTTGAGTCACTAATATTTAATGCAAGCTTCAAACTGAATTCTTTGTTCATATACATGTATGTCTGTAATACGTGTATCAACAAATAATCTTTAAGGCTTGAAAAGCAGGAAATGAATTGTACCTACATGTATACAGTATGTGTGTGTGTGTAATTTCGTTTAAATGTTTTATATATTTACAGTGTCAGAGTGGTGTTGCTGTAGTAAGGTGAGAGACAGTGACTATTTAAAAATATGAAATTAAAACACTTATTAAAGCTCTATGTTTTATTATGAGTATCTATCTTTCTATTCTTAAAGAGCTGACTTTTTAGATTAAATAGAAAAAAGTCTGATACGACTTAATTTTAATTGATTGTTCTCAGAATAAATCATACTGACTATATTGCATGATAAAGATACATTGAGATGTAAAATATTATCAGAAATGATGTATTGTCTGTTTATAATGCACTTCTTGATTTTTCCCCTAGGCCTCCTGGTCACCATGCGGAGAGGAATACCATGATGGGCTTCTGCCTGTTCAATAATATAGGGATAGCTGCTAAATACGCCCAACAAAAATACAATGTTCAAAGGTAAAAACAACAACAAAACAATGTAGGAATAGCTGCTAAATACGCCCAACAAAAACACAATGTACAAAGGTAAAAAGAACAACAAAACAATGTAGGAATAGCTGCTAAATACGCCCAACACAAATATAATGTACAAAGGTAAAAACAACAACAAAACAGTGTAGGAATAGCTGCTGAATACGCCCAACACAAATATAGTGTACAAAGATAAAAACAACAACAAAACAATGTAGGAATAGCTGCTAAATACGCCCAACACAAATATAATGTACAAAGATAAAAACAACAACAAAACAATGTAGGAATAGCTGCTAAATATGCCCAACAAAAATACAGTGTACAAAGGTAAAAACAATGTAGGAATAGCTGCTAAATACACCCAACTCAAATATAATGTACAAAGGTAAAAACAACAACAAAACAATGTAGGAATAGCTGCTAAATACGCCCAACACAAATATAATGTACAAAGGTAAAAACAACAACAAAACAATGTAGGAATAGCTGCTAAATACGCCCAACAAAAATACAATGTACAAAGGTAAAAAGAACAAAACAATGTAGGAATAGCTGCTAAATACGCCCAACACAAATATAATGTACAAAGGTAAAAACAATGTCAATCTTTTAATGTGTCTATGCTGTACAGTTTGCTCTGTATTTTGTTTGAATTACCAATCTAGACAATACACCTGTATTTCAGGATCCTGATCGTAGACTGGGATATCCATCACGGAAATGCAATTCAGAGCCTCTTTGAAAATGATCCAGGGTCAGTCATACTGAATATTTCCGGAAAAAATTCTGTCGTTTTTAAAAAATGATACATAAGTGGTAGCAGATTTTCTAAGGCAGGCTTTTTTAGAACTTATCAGTAAAACTTGTCTAATCCAGACACCACTGGTTCCATAGAAATTGGCTGGATTAAACAATATTCCCTATTTCTGGATAGACAACATTTTGAACAACTAAATTTACTGCAAGGGACTTTAAGTTATCCTCGAAATAGCAAAATTTTGGAGTACACAACATCCAAATAAGACAAGTTTTACTGTGTATATATATATATATAAATATATATATATATATATATATATACATGTACTTGTGTTATAAAGGTAGATTTTCATGTTTAGAATCAAACATTTCAAGTTAAAATTTGTATCAAAGCCCAGTGTAATCTTGTTGCGTAATCATGTTATATGATATTGTATTACAGTGTTCTATTTATTTCACTACATCGGTTTGACAATGGATCATTTTACCCCTATGGTGGGAAAGGTTACTACAAACAGACAGGGGGTCCACAGGCACGGGGATATACAGTCAATGTAGCCTGGAATGATGTAAGTACAGCATCTGTACAGAGCTGTCATAGTACCTTTAATGAATGATGTTCATAGAACTCTCTAACTTAAAGTTTAGAAAGAGAATCATTCGTATAAAATATTATTATGCAGTTGGTTTACCTTTTAAAGTTAGGGAGATGATATTTTAGTACATGTACATTAATGTAGATGTACCTGATACATGTTTTTGATGTGTCCTTACACTTAATCAGGGATCAAAAGGAGATGCAGATTACATTGCAGCCTTCCATCACCTGGTGCTGCCCCTAGCTTATGAGGTAAGTCTATAGCTGATCTAACTTAATATCACATTCATGTATGTGGTCACACACTTTTTTCAGTGATTACAGGGCAAATAAGGCACTTTTTGATCTCTGAAAGAAAAGTAATCCTGAATATGATCACTATGCCCTGTCTCCTTTCAGTTTGCCCCAGACTTGGTGTTAGTGGCAGCAGGCTTTGATGCTGAGAAGTCGGACCCTCTGGTGAGTGATAATTTGCTGCTGAACTGTACTTTTGTACATATGGAACATAGAACGTACACAAGTATGGATTGGTGTAGGGAAACCTGATCATGAAAACCATACTTTTGAGACACACCTGTTATAAATCACTAATTGAATAGATGCTTGTACAGGTAAACTTCGTTATCTCAACATTGGCGGGACTATCTGAAAATGTCAAGATATCCGGGTTGTCAAGATATCAGAGTTGCGACTGAATGTCCAAGATTTTATTTCATAGCAAACCAAAGACAAGTGTATTACATACAGTCATGTAGGTTGGACTTCCTGTAGGTATTGATAGGCTTATAACAATGTCAGACAGAACTATCGGACAGTTATTCATGTATTTGCTATACATTTCACATCAGAGCATGTGTTAACACTAGAAAAGTGGTCAAGTTTATGCATCTGATCAAAAAGTTTGGCTTATTTCACTCAGTAGTGTTAAAAAGTTGGAAATATCAATGAAAATGCCCCAAAGGAGGTTTAGAATGCTGGATGTACAAAAAATAATCTGCAGTGTACGTATAGATATGTGGACATTAACACTGCAGATGTTTGGACTACAATATTTTTGTGTCTATTTTTAGGGTGGTTACCGACTGTCTCCAGCCGTGTTTGGTCACATGACCAGGATGTTGATGGGATTGGCTGATGGGAAGGTTGCCCTTATTTTAGAGGTTGGTATCAAATGTGTCTAGATTTCCTGCTTCAATATATATGTAAATAGTGGACGGTTGTAAACAGATTGTCATTGTGTACATTTAGGGGTTGTATCAGTACCAGACTGAAAAGAACGGTGATAGATAAATGATTTTGATACTGTAAACCTTATAATTATTTTTATTTGTGAATCGCCACCACCAAAAAAAAATTGTACTTGACACATGATTGAAGTTTCTTTTTCATCATTTTAAAGTCTTTAACTTTTTTGTGATAGTCAGACCACAAATTCATGAGTTGGAGTTGCTTGCACATGTACATGTATTAAAGCTGGTACACAATACAAGTATGTCAAACAAATAAAATTTTAAAACATAAAAGAAATTTGTAATCTGGAAATTTTCACTTGCAGTGAATTGCTGTGCATAAATCATTTTGATGAACAGTTTTTTTTTGGAATTTGGGGTCTTTTCTAAAATGTTTATAACTTTCATGAAGGTACAAATGTATGTATATACATTTGTATAAAGAATATACGAAAAAAGTTGTTTCTCATGTAGATAGCTGATATTATCCTGCCATGGAAAATCTATTTAAGTGTACTTTTGTTTCCGATGTGTATCTATTTGTCTATTCTCGGACACTTGTATACACAAGACCATTCACAAACCTCAGTAAAGAGTGGAATTCTGACAGCTATAGATTATACTTGCATTGAAATTGACAGGGAGGTTATAGTTTGGAGGGAACTTCTCAGTCCATGAGTCTCTGTATATACTTGTTACTATTTATACTTTACATTTTGACCGGGAGGTCATTGTTTACAGAATATCTCAGTCCATGTGTCTTTGTATATCCTCATTATTTGTACTCTATATAATAACAGGGAGGTTACAGTTTGGAGGGAACTTCTCAATCCATGAGTCTGTGTATATCATCATTACTAGGGGACCCCTTACCAAATGTTCACAATGCTGTGCCCAGTAAAAGGTATGGTTATCAAAAACTCCCGTCTTGAAGATAAGAAACCAGGAAATGATTTCTCACAACATAAAAATTCTGAATCAGAAATAGAAGTCTCAAATCATTCTGGTAGATCTCGTATCTTAGGTTGGATTTAAAATCTGTGAATGATAAAGATTAAAAGAAATACATTATTTCTAAGCAATATTTATTTTATTTTACTAGCAATTTTCAATGAATGAAATAAAATGATATACAGAATAGAAGAATGATTCATATTAGATTAAAATGGAATTTTGCTGTAGATTTATTTAATTTCTAAACAATTAGTTATTTCCTTTTCATCTTTTACAGTGGAGTAGAAGCTATTTGTAAAACAATGGAGGTACAAGAGGAATTCTGGAAGACACTTTTATATAGAGGTATGGGTAGTAAGAATGTATTTCAAAATGACTGAAAACAGTTTTTGTTGAAATACTTCCCTCGTAATACCAGCAATTCTGAAGTACTAAACGAAAATAAGACAACCCCATTTCAATAATAATAAACAAGCAGTTACTTTTTCAAATAAAAGAAAAGTATATTGAGTGCATTGAATCCATGACCACTATATTACTAATGATTATTTGCTATGAAGAATGTTGAAGAATTACACCATTCCTAACAAGGAAAGTGGTTTAAAATAATGCACTTACAGAGTTGTGGAAAACTTTTTCAGATAGCCAGTCATTTGGACTGGCAAGAAGACAAAATAAACCGGTCCGAAGCGATTTTTGCTGGTCCGAAATAGAAAGTCCCAAAATTTTTTAAAAAGGCATATAACATTTATTTACTTCATTACATATATTTACTTGATAATACATGTATAACATTCAGTCTCCATTTCCAAGTCCTCTTCCGTTTTCGTTTTTTGCATTTATAACAATACTAGATTTCACCGCTTTTGGGCAGGTGACAATGTTAATTCAGCATAGTAAACGTAATTTTTTTTTAAACATTTATGAATTTGGGAATTATATTAACCTAGAAAATGAGTCTAGAAAATTTTAGAAATTCTGTGCATCGATAAAAGATCTCAAAACGATTGATGAAAAAACGAATCCGGGACAGTCGGAAGTACTAGATTTACCGCTTGTATGTGAATTCTTTCTGTCGACATTTTTCATATTTAGCTTGTCTTTATCTGTTTCTTTATGTTTCTACCTAATTTTGCCCCAGTTATAAATTTAATAGGTCACGAGACCTTGCTGGTTTCGCTTTCATTTATAGCCTCGATCATGTATAGAAAAAGTATTACGCAATATCATATATATGGTACCATTATTAAGCTGGGAAGTGCGTCGATGAGAAATGGAAAAACAAAAAAACTTTAACCAAAAAAAGGGGCCAGTCATTTGGACCGGCATTGATAGCATTTTTACCGGTCACACGCATTTTTTATCGGTTTTGCCGGCATGACCGGCAGTTTTCCACAACTCTGCACTTAAGTAACATTAAAAAAAGAAACAAGGTTAAAGTTGTCAAAAAAATTTAATTTCAGTGGATCTGCCTACTCAAGATCAGCTAGAAGTGATCAAAACTGAGAAAGAAAAGAAGAAAACAAGCACATAACAATAGGGGGGTGGGGAAATAGGAGGGAAAAACCTGACAGATATCACTACCTTCATTATCAACAGTTATTTTATCTTTTTGTATCACCTTAATGTTATACTGACAGAGGATTGTACAGTTAATGATATGTGTGTGTCACTGTGTTGTACTGGAGATACAAAGAAAATACTGCTGGTTGATAAATTTTTATGGGATTGACTCAGATCATTTACATTTTTGGAAAATTTCTTGCCACTAAATGATTGCTACATGGGTGGACACTAGTAGTTTACATTATCTAAAGACAAGTATTGACACTTAGTATCAGTGAGATAACAGACATACTGAGGTAACACAGTCACTCGATATTATCACTGTAACGAGTCAAGTTAAGATAGGATGAATTTTACAAAATCATTTATTTCATTGCTTGCCTGTTAAATATCTCACATAATTGAAAAGTACAACTGTCTTTCCTGTTTGAGGAGTAAAATCACACAGTGTAAAGAACATGGAAAATGTAAGAAAGGTCAGAGTTCACAGTGAAATGGATTACACAGGTGTCAGATTTAGACAGTTTTCACTGACATGGATTTGCTTGATGCATTTGCTCTAAGCATGGTTTAACTGTAATGACACTTTAATATTTACCTGGAATACTTAACTTTTTTTTTTTTTTTTTTTTTGTAAAAAAAAAAAAGAAAAAAAAAAACATCTGGACGTGTAATCAGTCCAGTACATTTTAACAGTGACTGGTTTCATATTAGGACTGTCACAGTTACCCAAAATAACTGAAACTACAGTTCAAGTTGTTCGGTTTGGTTTAGGTTCCATTTTTTCTGGATTTCGGTTCGGGTCTGGTTTATACATGTATGTTAGAATCTGTTTATACAAAAAATGGCATTGAAATCAAAAGAATGATGACGATAATAGTGATAAATAAACATCACAACTAAAATGCACTTCATTTCATGACAAAGCACTTATCACGATAGGATTAGATAATTTTCAAAATGAGCAAGAGTGGTCAGGTTGTAGCTAATAGTCGGCCTAATAGTCCTAAATACTGATGTCAAGACGTTAACATGGATAGGATTTGTTTTCAAGTGAATATAACGTAACAAATGTAGCTTTTTCAAGTTAAATTCATGAAATTAAGGTTTAAAACAGATGTAAGTAACCAAACTGAAAAACTGGAAACCAAACCTAAAATTTACAGAACCGACTTGACCAAAAAAAAATTTGGAACCATGACAGCCCTTTTTCATATAAATGTTGCAGTTAAATTATCTATAATCTGTTGTAGATATCTTTTTTATTTTATGACATGAAGTGTATGCAATTCTCAAGTATTCCATTTTGACAAGCTTCTACCTCTCATTTTAATTATGCAAATTATTTATTCATTAATATTTTTTTGATTATATATAAATTGTGAAATTTTTTAATACTGTAACCCAACTTTTATTCGTGTGCGAGAAGTATTCACGAGTTTTGCGACCTACATTAACTCCCGAATATAAATCGCCGCGCACAATTTATTTTGCTTTGTTTTTGTAGAGAATGTTTTTCAGTTGCAAAAAATAATTGTCGCAGATCGATTTCAAACTGATAAATCACGAATAAAAGATGACGCAAATAAAAGTTGGTTTACAGTATTTAAGATTACTGTATTTCATTTCAATGACATGCAGAAACACCCCAAGAGCATCCTACATTATAATATTTCTGGGTTTTTTTTGTACAAAATATTTTTAGGCCAGAAAAAAAATTAACCAATTGTTTCTCAGGCAACGCTGCACTAGGTCAAACACTGCCGCATTGATCAATTTTATTGACGTATTGAAAAGGGAAATAACTCAATTTTCTATTTTTTCAAGTTGAAAAAGAAAATTGAGTTATTCCCCTTTTCATAAATGCTAATAGATGGACGTTTTTATTAGATAAACAAGTAAGAGTCAGTTGATATCATCATTTTGTTGAACGACTGACATGAAAAAAAGGTAACACCTGCTTCAAAAAAAAAAAAAAGAACCTGCCTGCCGCATTGAATTTTGGCCTGAGAAACCATTTTTTTTATTAGGTCACCTGAGTCACTCAGGTGACCTATTGCTATCTCTTTTCGTCCGTCGTTCGTAAACTTTTGAACATTTTCAGCTTCTTCTCTGGAACCAGCAAACCAATTTCAACCAATTTTGGCATATAGCATCTATGGATGAAGGGGAACAAAAATTGTGAAATTCGTGGCCCCTGCCCCCCTGGGGCCTGAGGGGTGAGGCCAAAACCATCAAAATTAATGCAATCTTTAAAAATCTTCTTCTTTACTCCTGGACATCAAGCAGTCAAACTGTTGGCATGATTGTAATAAGCATTGAGCCCTCTACCAAAATTATGAAATTCATGGCCCCAGGGTCAGGGGTTCTGGTGCTAGGGCGGGGCTATATAGATCATATAGTGAAAGTGCATTATTTCTTTGAAAATCTTCTTCTCTATTCCTGGGTATTATTGAAACAAATTGAATACATGGTTATTATAAGCAAGAGTGACTCTACCGAAATTGTGAAATTCATGGCCCCAGGGTCAGGGGTTCTGGTGCTAGGGCGGGGCTATATAGATCATATAGTGAAAGTGCATTATTTCTTTGAAAATCTTCTTTTCTACTTCTGGGTATTATTGAAACAAAATGAATACATAGTTATTATAAGCAAGAGTGACTCTTCCAAAATTTTGAAATTCATAGCCCCAGGGTGAGGGGTTCTGGTGCTAGGGTGGGGCTATATAGATCATAGTGAAAGTGCATTATTTCTTTGAAAATCTTCTTCTCTACTCCTGGGTATTATTGAAACAAATTGAATACATAGTTATGATAAGCAAGGGTGACTCTACCAAAATTGTGAAATTCATGGCCCCAGGATCAGGGGATCTGGTGCTAGGGCGGGGCTATATAGATCATATAGTGAAAGTGCATTATTTCTTTAAAAATCATCTTCTGTACTCCTGGGTATTATTGAAAGAAATTGAATACATAGTTATGATAAACAAGGGTGACTCTACCAAAATTGTGAAATTCATGACCCCAGGGTCAGGGGTTCTGGTGCTAGGGTGGGACTATATAGGTCATATAATGAAAGTGTATTATTTCTTTGAAAATCTTCTTCTCTACTCCTGAGTATTATTTAAACAAATTAAATACATAGTTATGATAAGCAAGAGTGACTCTACCAAAATTGTGAAATTCATGGCCCCAGGGTCAGGGGTTCTGGTGCTAGGGTGGGGCTATATAGATCATATAGTGAAAGTGCATTATTTCTTTGAAAATCTTCTTCTCTACTCCTGGGTATTATTTAAACAAATTAAATACATAGCTATGATAAGCAAGGGTGACTCTACCGAAATTGTGAAATTCATAGCCCCAGGGTCAGGGGTTCTGGTGCTAGGGCGGGGCTATATAGATCATATAGTGAAAGTGCATTATTTCTTTGAAAATCTTCTTCTCTTCTCCTGGGTATTATTTAAACAAATACATGGTTATGATAAGCAAGGATGCCTCTTCCAAAATTGTGAATTTCATGACCCCTGGATCACAGGTTCTGATATTAGGGCGGGGCTCTATTTATTATATAGTGAAAATGCATTAATGCTTTAAAAATCTTCTCTGCACCTGGGCATATCAGAGGCAAAAAGAGTAAAAGTTTTAATAAGGAAGGGTATTTTTACCAGATTTTTGAACATCAGAACCATTTAATCAAGTGTTCTGGTCCAGGCCAGGGCTCTATTAATTTGTATTCTATTGAGAGGAGTTATTCCCCTTTGCCATTTACTTGTGTTAATTAATCACTAATTAATCAATAATGTACTTGAAAGGTTAATAGAATAAGAGAATTATGCAAGAATTTTTATTGTAAAATACAAAAAGTACTTTCATAGTTTTAATGATCAGGTAGACTTGTAAGTAACAGATAAATAAAAATGAGACAAAAATAACTTGTCTTATTAAATGTTCATCAAAGACCAAGAGAGGCCAATGTAAGAGATTTCAACAAGGAATTAAAAGAGTACAGAAGCACTGATTATAAGTTTGTTTATATACTGTCTGGTGAGAGTGATAAATGGGGAACAGATTAGAACCTAATTTATGTACTGTTAATGAACACTAGACTAATTATTTTGTTGATCCTGATCACCCTATTTTTCTTGCTTTTGGGCAACAAAGCTTCACCTTTCAGTTCATTCATATTCTATGGATCCTCTAAATTGTTGTATTATACTCAGGTGACCGTTAAGGCCCTTGGGCCTCTTGTTTCATTATGCCACCATAATTGAAGATTCAGAGGCATATAGTTTTTAGCTCACCTGAGCTGAAAGCTCAAGTGAGCTTTTCTGATCACCCGTTGTCCGTCCGTCTGTCCGTCCGTCCATCTGTAAACTTTTCACATTTTCAACTTCTTCTCAAGAACCACTGGGCCAATTTTAACCAAACTTGGTACAAAGTATCCCTGGGTGAAGGGGAGTTTAAATTGTAAAAATAAAGGGCCAAGTCCCCTTACAAGGGGAGATAATCAAGAAAAGACAAAAATTGGGTGGGGTCATTAAAAAATCTTCTTCTCAAGAACCACTGGGCCAGAAAAGCTGAAACTTATGTGGAAGCATCCTTGGGTAGTGTTGATTCTAAATTGTTAAAATCATGACCCCCGGGGGTAGGGCGGGGCCACAATAGGGAATCCAAGTTTTACATTGAAATATATAGGAAAAATCTTTAAAAATCTTCTTCTCAAGAACCACTGGGCCAGAAAAGCTGAAACTTATGTGGAAGCATACTTGGGTAGTGTAGATTCTAAATTGTTAAAATCATGACCCCCGGGGGTAGGGCCGGGCCACAATAGGGAATCGAAGTTTTACATTGAAATGTATAGGAAAAATCTTTAAAAATCTTCTTCTCAAGAACCACTGGGCCAGAAAAGTTGAAACTTATGTGGAAGCATCCTTGAGTAGTGTAGATTCTAAATTGTTAAAATCATGACCCCCGGGGGTAGGGCGGGGCCACAATAGGGAATCCAAGTTTTACATTGAAATATATAGGAAAAATCTTTAAATATCTTCTTCTCAAGAACCACTGGTCCAGAAAAGCTGAAACTTATGTGGAAGCATAATTGGGTAGTGTAGATTCTAA